TTTTCCGAAAAACAGCTACTTCAAAATCACGGATGGAACAATTTTTCAAAAAATTCGTACCTCCGTTATTAATTGATCAATTTCTTATTTCAAAAAAATGGATTACTTGGAAAAGTCTATATTTTAATAGAAAAAATGTTTTTACTACAAATATTTAATATTAAAAGAAAATTTCCACAAAAATTTTAAAAAAACATATACTTTTTTTTAAAATTATTATTTTTTAACCATATTTCTTTCTATAATTATAGATATATGCTGTGCCAATGGTGTATAATAACAAGTGTTCCAAAATGACATTTGGCAATTTATTCTTAATAACATATTTGCAATCAATACATAAAAAAATCAATAACCTATACCCTGATACATTATTATAACCCAATAACGGGAAATAAATAAACTTCACAAGACAGAATAAAATTGATACAAAAATAAAAATATTCCTCAGCCACAGAGAAACAAAATGAATAAATTAATGACTTGGCTCAATATTCGAATCTCTAACTGGAAACCTGGACGCATCTGACGGAGAACGTCACAAGCACATCATTAGGGAATTACAAAACAATAAAAATAGTTTACAAGAAAATCTTCTGAAACAATACTCGCTTGCTTTAAAAGTAAATTTAACCAAACTATTAAACAAATAAATATCAACGAACAACTTCTAGAATAAAAAATTAACCAAATTGCACATATTATGGTACAGAAGACAGACATAATAAATCAAATAGGTACCTAGTCAATATCTATGAGATAATCGACTCTATTTTACAAGATATAGAAAATTCCTTAACTTTTTCAAAATTGAAAGTCATGCATCCAGGTATAATAAAAACTGAAGACTTTTATCATGAATTAAACAAACTACAACAGCATTTAAGTTCTGAACAAATGCTCCTAGCGGTCACTTTGGAAAATACTTCACTTTTTGAAAAAATAATTTACCTGGAATATTTTGTCTTTATAGTTATTAATGATACAAGTTCGATATGAACGCCATAATGAAACGCGTGTAACGTTAAACCACGAGGCGTTAGCCGAGTGGTTTAGTTACACAAGTTTCATTAATAAAGTTCATATCGAACGAGTATCATTCAAAATTTAATCTACAATGGTCCAAATAGATTTGATTTGCCTTGAAATAGCAAAAACTTTTCAAATTAAAATTTGAAATTTAGCAAGTGCCCGTACAAGTCGAGAACCTGCTTGTTGGTTTTTAGAATTTTGACTTTGGCAGCTTCAATATTGGAGTCCATTTTTGTGCCATAAATTCAATTTTATGGTGGAAAATAATATTATTATTGGTGAATCTGAGTTCGAAAGTGTCTCTTCGAATATAGAGACAGCATTATTGAAAAGGTTCTTCTGGCAACTAACTTTCTTTTTGTATATTTTTCATTTCAAAATTTGGGTGTTATTATGAATTCTTAAACGCACTAGTGCTATTATGAAGGACCTAATGACATTCAAATGACAATGCTAAATGTGTCATAATGACACCGACGTAGATTAATAATATAATAACATACCTAATACATATACTAATAATGTATTCGGGCATTTTTGCTAACTTTCATTTATACTCCTCGGTTCCAATGATTGCTCAGAGTGAGTTTAAGGTTGTCTTACCGCAAAATAAATTCTTGCTGAAATAGTATATTACATACCGAGGTGGAAAGTGGGTCTAACTGAAATCTCGAGACAGTAATGAAACTTTTCACCGAGGTATGTATACTATTTTATTTAGAAGCATTCGAATTTCGAAATTTTCATTTGGATTAAAACTAAAAAATACAATAATTAACAATTTCATTTACTAATAAAAGATTTTTTAAGTAAATTTTAATACTTATATATTTCCACAATTTTTTGTTAAACTTTTAACATGTTTCGCTAAACTTTAGCTTCATCAGAAAGATTTTAGAAAAATAAAATGTAGACATAAAAGTGAAATTGACAAATATAAAAAAGGTAAAAGCTGGTCTAATTTTATGTTAATTTAAATAGGTATTACACAGTAAATAAATTTAAAAGTGGTGAATTGTTTAAATCTAATTGGTCGTTCAATAAACAGTCTAAAGTTTTAAGTTTGTTTATTTCTAAAGATTCTAGAAGATTTAATTTTATCCCCCAAGTAAAAGCCGATTCAATCAAAAAATTTCATTTACTTTCGGCCCACGGGTCGAAAGTTTACTTTCGACCCGTGGGCCGAAAGTAAAAGTCAAAAAATACAATAAATTTTAAAAATTTCATTCACTTTCGGCCCACGGGTCGAAAGTTTACTTTCGACCCGTGGGCCGAAAGTAAAAGTCAAAAAAGTGACATTTTCGAACTTTTTAAAAGTCAGTAAATTCAACATTACATGTATGATTGTAAATAAAATAAATTGCACTACACATACTATGGTCAAGAATGTCCAGAAATTATTCAGAAATTCAATAATTGTGGAAGAGAAGACATTCATGAAATCCAAAGAGACAGCCCATGAGAAATTAAACTAATAGAATCTGACAAAAATACCTCCACCTGAGAACAAACCGAAGTTAAAGTCCCACAAATTATCATCAATCGATTGGACGATTCCAATCAATGGATATTGGTCGTTCCTGTCAAAGAAGCCATCCAATTCAAGGAAGTACAAAACATTATGGGAACATTTATGCTTCAAATACCAATTGGTTGCCAAGTGGCAACCGCTGATACCTTGATGCCGACCCTCAATCTAAGTCGACATCTAAAATATTTGAAATTAGACGACCTTTACCAATTGAGCAAAGAAGAAATGGACATACGCCCACAACTGAGTTTCACCGAAATCAATAGAATACCCAGCCTTGGGACAATCCTTATATATGTCCTCATCGTTATTGCCTGTATCTTCTTGGTTTACATGAAATATGAAAAAGCCGAAGAAGGAAGGAGTTGTATCGCGTCTATTTGCTGAGTTTAGAAGGCTTATTCTACTTTTCAGTTTATTATAAATGTATTTTTTTTGCCTAGGATAGTCAGTCAGTTGAAATTAATTATAATTGTAACATTTATTGTAACGCGCTTTCGCTAGTTTAAATTTTCGGATTGTTAATAAAGTAATTTTTTAAAAACCAACCCTCTATTTCTGACTTGGTAACTCACTTTTCAGTAGTATCTACTGAACAACCTCTAATATATTATATATCATTCGATTCAGCGGAAAATTCTGAGCATTTTTTATCTGAAACTTTTTTCTGTATAATTTATAATTATAGAAAGAAAAATGGTTAAAAAAAAATAATTAAAAAAAAATATCTTTTTTTTTTCAATTTTTGGGGAAACTGTCGTCTATTATCGAATATTTGTGGTTGAAACAAGTTTTTTATTAAATTATAGACTTTTCCAAGTAATTTCTTTTTTTGAAATAGAAAATTGATCAAATAATAATGGAGATACGAATTTTTCAAAAATTGCTCTATCCGCGATCTTGAAGTGGCTGTTTTTCGGAAAAAAATAATTTACAGAAATGCCAACATACCATTTGGTAATCTAGTAGTCCCATATTTTCATAAAATAAAGCATTTTCAAACTTAGCACGAGATCGAAGCGAGCGGCCGTTTTTGAGCCCTATGATAATAGACTATAAATAAAATTATTGTTTGTTGGATTTTTGAGTGGTTTCATTTGCACATAAAGGGACTACACGTTATCTTAATTTTCCTTTGAATTCACGACCCTGGGTTATCTTTTCCTTAAAGTATACAAATCTGAGTTAATTTGTAACAAAGTCTAACATAATTTGGTAGTCAAGACATGAAAGTTCAAACAAAAATAATTATTTGGAAAGAAATCAAAATCAATTCCAAATTAATTTGAAATTATTCGTTCCAACAGGTGCACTGATGCAACCTCAATCGAATACAGTGTGGTTAACTTAAATTGAATTGATCGATCTAATCCAGTCAATCGAAATCGGCTATAGAGAAGAGTGATATAGGCTATTTTTTCTCCAGAAAAAAAAAAAGTACAGTTGCGCGAAACTCTGATACACTGGAACGCCTATAAACAGCCCGGGGCGCTCTAGAGCAACTGAGGAGTGCTTGAAATGCGTCACTGAACTCACTGGCAAGCGACTCTGATATCGGATAAAAAAAAACTTTTAGAAAATCAACAAAATAATTTGAAAAAAAAGTGTATTATTCCAAAATGTATTTTCACGCTGGCAACGCAGCGGGCCATTAGCTAGCAACAAATAAAATGTAGTAACATAAAATGAGGATCACGCATACATTATAATAAGTCACTTCGTTCAACTGCAATCAAGCTAGTCGCCATGAAGCTAAGTTACAACTCACTGTCTTAACTGGTTACCCTTGAATGAATCTTCTTGAAATAACAAGTGTAGCAATTTTATCCTATTCAGGTATTATTCCGATATTTATTAGGTACATATTTAAATAAATACTCTTATTACTATTACTCGCTCTAATTAAACAATAAATTTTATTTTTCCCCTATCATGGGAACAATAATACATTATGCGCCATATCAAATTTCCTAGTTTCCAATTAGCCAACATAATAAAATAACCGAAAAACAATACGCCTACAGCAGATTAACATTATGCTCATTTCGCGCCACCTAATTATGTCCAATTATCAAGGGTATTAATTGCGGCTAGAACGAAATTACATTTTGGAATTTATTGGGAAAAAGAATACTCGGTGGTAAAATGTACAAATTGTAATACCATCTAAAATTATATTGTAGGCGTGAGAAACATTAATGAAACGAACCTTTTATCTCCCCAACCAGAGCAGCGGAAATAATACAATTTAAATTAGCTCTTTAAGAAATGAGGGTGAAAAAAAGGACAATTCATTTAGGGATGAAAAAATACTGACTTTAGGTCACGTTTTGACGGGCGGATGGACTTGGAATTTATGCTCTTTGCTCTTTTTTAATTTTAGATTTAATTGCTAAGATAAAATTTTACTGAAACAAAAATTATCTTGCTGTTACAGGTGACACCGAATTGGTTACTCCTGAACCCACTCTGGTTCCGGAATATGTGAATCCATATCCAATTACACATCCGTGCTATCGATTTGCTGACATCACCAATAAGGAATTTTTCAGTCCGGCCTATCCACCTGATGCTGCTACTTATCCTAATAACACAAATTGTGCAGTAGTTTTAACAGGTAAGTGGATTCTTATGTAAGCCTTAATCAGGGGTCTGGTTCGAACCATTTATAGCCTACATTCCGAGTTGGATTTTAATCTCTATTTATATTGGAGTTACGAAAATACTCGACAACTCAATACGAAAGGCCAAACCATTTCCTCTACATTTTTCATTTTCAAATATACCTAAAGGTAGTTTTCTCCTTCTCCAAGTGATCACGTACAAGCACTTATCCATGTGAAGTCAGTATTATTTTTGAGGCCTCACTTTGGATGACATTGGGTGTTTTAATGTTCATTGTGCCTCTTTCTGAACTCTTCTCTTTTCAGACTCTCAACTGGGTAATATTTCTTTTATACAATTCGGTGCTCAATGTACAGTTCTCTTCAACGTAAACTATGATAAATCCAACAAAATTCTTTAGAGTATGACACACATTTTTCTTTTGAATATTTGAAATTTCATGGTATTAGTACTTATGATTTAGATTTGGAAAACTTTGAAAGATCATAACTTTTTTTTCTGTTGAAGATAGAAAGCTGACATTTTCAGCGATTTTTATCCCAGTAGAGGACTACAATCCTTAAAGCTTCTAGCTCATTTGGACTTATGGTTCCAGAAATAAAATCATGTTAAGCAATTTGGGGTGATTAATCAATTTTCCATTGTTTGTGAGTGCCTTTTTTTCATAGAATCCGGCTTCAAATCCCAAAATAATTTAGTGTATGGAATTTGGGGGATCCCAATGGACCCTTAAGACACGAAATCTCAACAACAAAAAAATTGAAATTTATCATTTTAGTACCTACCTTATGATTTAGATTCTGGAAAACTTTGAAAGGTCATCCCTTTTTTTCTATTATAGAAAAAAAACTGAAATTTTCAGCGATTCTTATCCCAGTAGAGGACTACAATCCCTGAAAATTTCAGCTCATTTGGACTTATAGTTCCAGAAATAAAATCGTGTTAAGCAATTTGGGTGATTTATCAATTTTTCAATTTTCCTGAGTGTCTTCTCATAGATTCCGGCTCCAAATCACAAAATAATTTAGGGTAGAGATTTGAAGGATCCCAATGGACCATTCAGATACAAAATTTCAACAACAAAAAAATGTGAAATTTGAAAAGTTCATCTTCGGATGAAGTAACATAGGAATATCTAGACAATTGTGTTCTTCGATATACTGGTCATTTTGAAGAATCCTCAAACTATTTCTGTTTTTGCGTTCCTGTTTTTTGGAATGACAACTTCAGGTCTTTAAATAATTTGTTCTTCTCGTGAAAATAACGTGCACATCCTTCGTTTATTTCTTATATTATTGTTTTTATTTTTCTCCATTTTCCTGTTTTACCAATAAATAAGGGTTTTCATAAAGGCTTGTCATTGAAGGTCCAAGTATATTCAATCTTATTGCTTTACATTCACTGTCCAGCTCCACCCATTTGGCATCTCTAAAATAATAGATTCACTTCATTCATGCAGTATTTGCATGCTTTTTAGGATCTTCAACCAGTCAGCATCAGTTTTGGAATCACCCTTCAAAACTTTAATATTTTTTTGTTAAGTCTGACATGACTTCATAATTATCTCCTCTTTCTGGAGATTTTGTGGTTGATGCAGATTCAAAAAGATGCTCCATCGTGAGGTCTTTTTGTTGGTAATCATGGATCATCTTTAGCAAAGTTTCCGGTATGTTCTCCTGTTATTTCCGGCCTATTCAGTTATGCTATCGTGTGATGAATCAATTTTTTCATTTGTATTATTCATCGTTTCCAGGATCTTACTCCTCTTTTCCTAGACAACTTTTTGTAATATTCCTATACTTAATTTGTCCAAAATTCATGACAATCAGCCGTATGAATAAAAGCAGAGCATTTGCTTCTAAGCAAAAGGTAGAAGTATAGGCAAAAGCTCCGAGTAAAAGGTAGGCAGAAACATTTACTTCGTATCATATGGATAATGAAGACTTTTCACTTGCGAGCATATGCTTCAAAGAAATGAAAAATACTAATCAACCATCCAAGGACCTTTTTTTTTCAGTTATACATGTAAACCCCATACTTTGTGAGTGGCTTGCTTACATCAAGTCCGACAACTTTTTCCTCTACGACTTTTCTCGGAAATGGCACGTATGCGCGCAGGCGACTCGCAAACACGTCGATCTGACGTAGCTTTGTTTCCTGATACATGTGAATCTAATTTTACGAATAATGTTTGATTTTTATGTCTAAATCACGGAAATCAACTTGGCCGACAAAAATAATGGCAAATTGGGGGAGTCCGATACCCCCAAAATGTCAATCTGACGAGGTTATGTTTCCTGATACATGTAAGTCTCATTAAAAAAAAATTTCTACTGACGTTTCATAATAGCAACTTTTCGATTGTCATTTTAGTTTTAAAACGACATTCTTTTAAGCACTGAGTGCGTAAAAGTAACTTGTAAGCACTCAGTGCGTAAAAGTGAATTTTAATTATTTTTGATTTCCTGACAGGTATGTGTCACCATGACACCCAGTGTGCGAACTAGCTATTTCGCGCACGTGTGCGCGAAATAGCTAGTTCGCGCACGGCGTCATGGGAACGTTAAAAAATCAATACCTGGGAAAAAAAGTGTCACTTCGCAAACTGTCATGAGTGTGCGAACATCATCATTTTTTGACAGTTATAGAAAAATGTAATTATTGAATTGAACGTTTGGGTTACTCAAAACAGAACTTTGTGTTGTTACCTACTTTCTGGGATTTTAATTATTGATATCGTATCTTGAAAGAAAAATCGCATGAAAAGTGTCAGGTGTCAAGCAAAAGCAGGTAACAAAGATTTTGGGCGTAATCGACTTATTCACATGAAATAAAATTCTGTTTTTTTATTATAAAATGCCAGTAGAAAAAATCTTGTATACAATACGTTACGAAACGATGTCTTTTAGTCACTCGACGTGTTGTCCAACTCGGCTTTGCCTCGTTGGACAATTTTCACGTCGCGTGCCTAAAAGACGCTCATTTCGTAACTTTTTGTATAAATAGCTATTTCGATCTTAAATTAGCTCTATATTGTAAATAAATGTGTGTCCGACAAAAAAAATGGCAAAAATTTGCAAAAAAATAATAATAATCGAAAAAATATTAACAGCAAAGATGCATTTTATTGTAATCGGTAATCAATGTACTATAGACTACTTTAACTTATGAAAAATATTGAAAAGTTTAAAAAATATTAAAAATAAAATTCTTTACCTGATAATTTATACTTAGGCTATACTTCATTCCATTTGAATTTACCAGTGTTGCCAACTGCTCTTTGCAAAATTAGTGGCACGGAATTCCACCTTTACTGACAAATACAAAATGTCGAATAGGCACCTTGCATCAATTTTTTTTATTGCTGATTTCGTTTGTCAATGAAAAATAAGTCAACACGTGTTTTTTCTTTTTCTTGTTAGACAAAAATTGACGGAGATACAACGCTTTGAAATGTGCTTATTTTTGATATCCTATGACGTCACTCCATGTTGAGTATATCTATATATACAAAACTTAATCTTTGTATAACTTTCGGAATATTCATATTTGGACAAAATAAAAAAATACGTATAGATACAGTTTGCAATAAACAGTTATCAATTTAATTTTTCATGCAAGGTGCCTATTGAGGGAGGCCCTATTTTTAGTCGATTTCAAGTCAGACAAGTCTTGACTCCTTTTGTATTAACATTTTCAAATCAGAAATGATGACGTCAAGTTTCAAGACATTGGCTTAAGCATGGGTCACTCTCTCTAGTTACCAGAATTTGAATTTGTGCTCATCATATCCTGACACTTCAAAAATTGTCATTCAAATCAGCATGAGCATGCAATATAACGTGATCATTATATAGGTAATATATAAGGCGCTTTCTTTTTCCCATCGATCTATTCAGCATTATCAGTCAGTTATTCTAAATTCTTTTTTTTCTATTCTTAGCTTTATTTCCTGTCGGACTTGTCGGACAAGACTAATTTAGTATTCAGAAAACATTATTTGATCAAGACGTACTTTTGTCCAACATATATGTATCAGGAAACATAACCTCGTCAGATCGACATTTTGGGGGTATCGGACTCCCCCAATTTGCCATTATTTTTGTCGGCCAAGTTGATTTCCGTGATTTAGACATAAAAATCAAACATTATTCGTAAAATTAGATTTACATGTATCAAGAAACATAACCTCGTCAGATCGACATTTTGGGGGTGTCGGACTCCAGCAATTTGCCATTATTTTTGTCGGCCAATTTGATTTCCGTAATTTAGACATAAAAATCAAACATAATTCGTAAAATTAGATTCATATGTATCAGGAAACATAGCTACGTCAGATCGACATGTTTGCGAGTCGCCTGCGCGCATACGTGCCATTTCCGAGAAAAGTTGTAGAGGAAAAAGTTGTCGGACTTGATGTAAGCAAGCCACTCACAAAGTATGGGGTTTACATGTATAACTGAAAAAAAAAGGTCCTTGGATGGTTGATTATACTACTTCTTGTCGTGAAAACCAAATCCACCAACAACAACAATCAAACGCATAACGTCGGGTCTTCTGCTAACTTTTTTGTCTGAGATTATCCGAATTTCTTTAATTCTTACAGAGGTTTTTCGCAAATCCTGAATTCACAACATATGTCCGAAACCGAATTAAATATATGTATGCATCGAGCATCCAGGAATATCTTATAACCTTTCCAGAAGCCAGCAGCAAAGAAAGCGAAGGCAGGATGCTGAGAGGAGATAATTGAACGATATGAAATGTTCGGAAAAAAATAACATCTTAACAATCATTACTAAAGAAGATGAACAACATGAAGATCCGTCTATAGAAGTAAACAGACAAGAAAAAAAAAAAAAAAACGAGAAATAAGAATATTCGGAAATAATTTACCAAAATAGTAAACATACATCTGGTCTGGAGCAGATGCATTTTGTAAGAAGTAAATGCTTCCAATTTAGAGCAAATTAATTTCATTCATAAGAAAAA